AGCATGTAACTGTCAAATCTCTTGTACCACTGCCTCGGAGATTGCTTAAGTCCATACAAGGACTTCTTCAGCTTACAAACATAGTCTTCTTTTCCCGGAACCTCGAATCCTTCTGGCTGAGTCATGTAAATTTCTTCCTCCAACTCTCCATGCAGGAAAGCTGTCTTCACGTCTAGCTGCTCGAGCTCCAAGTCATAATGTGCCACTATTGCTAGTAGCACTCAGATCGAAGTATGTCTGACCACTGGTGAGAAAATCTCATTGTAGTCAACTCCTTCCCTCTGCGAAAAGCCTCGTGCAACCACCCGAGATTTAAATTTCATGCCCTCTTTAGAAGTGATTCCTTCCTTCTTCTTGTAGATCCACTTGTTTGTAACAATCTTCCTTCCCTGTGGTCGTTTGACTAGCTCCCAAGTCTGATTCCTGTCATGGGATTCCATCTCATCTCCCATTGCGGCAAGCCACTGATCAGCTTCACCACCCGAAACTGCTTCTCTATAGGACTGTGGCTCCCCTGCATCCACTTCCTCAGCAACCTGAAATGAATACGCCACCATGTCCTCGAAGCCATACCTCTGTGGAGGTACTCCTGCAGTCGCTCTCTTCGGTCTACCGGAAGCAATAGACTGTTTAGCTCGTGCACTGGACTCTGAAGTTTCTGGCTCTGCAGAGACATCCTCATCATGTTGATCTTCTCCACCTTGGTGCTCAAACTCTTTGAAAGTTTGCAGCTCCACCTGTTTATCAACATTCCTGCTACCTTCAACAACAGTAACCTTCAACAGGGGTTAAACATAGACTTCTCATCAAATATCACATTTCTACTGAGTATAACTCGATGCTCAGAAGGTGACCAGACTCGAAAACCCTTAACTCCATCTCCGTAACCCACAAATACACCCTTCTTTGCCCTTGGGTTCAGTTTACCCTCATCCACGTGATAATAAACAGGACACCCAAAAACTTTCAGAGAAGAGTAATCAGCAGGCTTACCATACCACACTTCATAAGGAGTCTTACACTCGATACCTGTGTGTGGTCCACGGTTGATCAGGAAGCATGCCATGTTTACTGCTTCTGCCCATAATCTTCTCTCTAGTCCAGCATTAGAGAGCATGCACCATGCTCTCTCCAATAATGTCTGGTTCATCCTTTCTGCAACGCCATTCTGCTGGGGTGTATCTCTAACAGTCCGATGACGGGCAATCCCTTCATCCTTGCAGAATTCGTTGAACTCAGAACTGCAGAACTCCAGACCATTGTCCGTTCGCAGCTTCTTGATCTTCTTCCCGGTCTGATTCTCCACCAATGTCTTCCACTGCTTGAACTTCGTGAAAGCTTCACTTTTCTGCTTCATCATGAAAATCCAAGTAAATCTCGAATAATCATCAATAATAGACAGAAAATACCTACTGCCTCCAATCGATTCAACTCGTGAAGGACCTCAACAGTCGGAGTGGAGGTAATCCAGTATCCCCTTCGTCCGGTGGATACCCTTCTTGGGAAACTTGCTGCAATGTAGCTTCCCAAACACACAATGCTCACAAAATTCCAAATTCTGCACCTTGTGCCCGCAAAGAAGATCCCTCTTCGACAAAACTTGCATCCCTCGTTCACTCATATGCCCCAGTCTCATGTGCCAGAGAGTGGTCATATCTTCCTGATGAACCTGAGAAGATGCAACTGCAGCAGAACCAGACAACACAGACCCTTGTAATGCATACAAGGTCCCACGCTTCACGCCCTTCAGTACCTTCCTCGAACCCTTGCAGACATACACAACTCCACCTTTTCCTTTGAAGCTGAAGCCCTTGCTGTCGAGTAGACTCAAGGAGATCAGGTTCTTTGTCATTCGTGGAACATGTCTGACATCATTCACGGTACAGAATGAACCATCATGTGTCCGAACCTTTATGGACCCGATTCCAACAACCTTGCAGACAACTCCATTAGCCATGACCACGTTGCCACCATCTACCTGCTCGTAGGTTGTGAAGCAATCCCTGTTCGGAGACATATGATATGAGGCTGCAGTATCCAGAAACCACACATCTCCACGATGTGCCTTCTCATCTACAGCCAAGGCGAGATCGTCTTCAGAACTGTTGTCCACTTCTACCACGGCAACTGAACCTTGTTTCTTCTGTTGCCCTCTTCTCTTGGGACAGTTGTATTTCCAATGCCCCACTTCCTTACAATTGTGACAAGCATCACCTGGCTGTGGACCGGGACCCTTGGAATTCTTGCTCGAATTCCCTTTACCAGATTTCTTCTTTCCCTTTCCACCTGTAACAGCCAAACCTGATGCCTCACCACCTGTACCAGATCCAGACGCCTTATGTCTGATCTCTCTCGTATGAAGAGCAGACCTGACATCCTCCAACGTCACGCTTTCTTTACCAGCAATAAAAGAATCAACGAAATTCTCATATGAACTCGGCAAAGAAACCAACAGGATTAGGGCAGCATCCTCGTCATCAACTTGAACATCTATATTACGCAGATCCAGCAAAATAGAGTTAAGCTGTTCAAGATGTTCCCTCAAAGGCGTACCTTCTTGCATCCTCAAGCTGAACAACCGTTGCTTGAGATGCAGCTTGTTGGTTAGAGACTTCGTCATATACAGACTCTCTAGTTTCAACCACAAGCCCGCGGCAGTCTTCTCAGCAGCGACTTCAATGATGACATCATCAGACAACGATAGCATGATGGTCGAGTGGGCCTTCTCCTCCAGGGTATTCCACTCATCGTCATCGACCGCTGCCTTCTTCTGTTTCGCAGACAGCGGCCCCCACAGCCCTTGCTGTTTTAATAAAGCCTGCATCTTGATCTGCCATATAGCGAAGCTGTTCTTCCCCGTGAACTTTTCGATCTTCATGTTCACCGACGTCATTCTTCTGAATCGAAAACCCTAGCCTGATTTCCAGCCGCGGCTCTGATACCACTTGTTATAAACGCGCTGCTACGGATCGGGAAATCGCCGGAATTGACAAAGCAAGAATACGAAAGCGAGAATCGAAAGAACACAGACACATGATTTACGTGGTTCACTAACACGATGTGGTTAGCTAGTCCACGGGCGAGAGAGAGCCAGTTTCACTATATCGAGGAGATTACAGATTACAGAGGAGTATAAGAAGTATTTATAGTACTTCTCCATGTGGGTCTAAACCTAATCCAATCTGACAAAGGAAACAGTTACAGACCAGGCCCAGAACCCGAACCCAAATAACATTTATAGCGAGACCCCCGATTACCAGTCGTAGCGGCTGATAGTCCGATTCTAGTCACATCAACAATTATAGTCTATCCCAGGTCTTTGAGCATACCCTTTAACAACCAATCGAGCCTTGTACTTATCTACAACTCCTCTTTTTGGGGTCGTTTGGATGCCGGATTCTATTGAGGGATTTATCAGGAATTTTAAAACAATCACTCTTTATGCAGGATTTTAAAACAATTCTGCGTTTGGGGAAGATGAAGGATTTTGTAATTAGTGATTTTAAAAACTCTCATGTGTGGGTTTTTCAAATAGCTGATGACCATCAGCTATTTCACAATCCCTCATTTTTATTTTATCATTTCCAAACATTGCCCCTCGAGTATCTGTCTCGCTCTTCTTACTTCTTCCTTCTTACACCTACATCGCAGTTCATCTCAACGTCGACTTCTCCCTTCCATCATCAAAACATCACCAAAAGTGCATCCATCTCTCACCTGGTCGAATTGCCCTCCTCTCCCACTCCGTTTTGTCGACAAAGATTCGGGTTTCAAATGAAAGGTTGATTTCCGATTCTGGGTTTGGAACAGAGTTTCGATTCTGGGACTAGATTGCTTTGATTGAGCGCCAATCGAGCAACCTCCCGACTTCGTGTTTGAAAAGAGTATCGATTGAGCGTGAATCCTCCATGGCGAGCACTACGTTTCGTAGCTCGCACCCCTGAGATGGCCCGATTCAGCGCCGTCCTCGAGCGCCGGCGGATTCCCTAAAATGGCAGCCATGGACGAGAAGCCGCCGCAACCCAAAAGACATCGAGACCCACCAAATATCTTCTATTCATCCGACCTTTTAGATCCCTTCTCCCTGCTCTTCCTCTAATTTCCCCCCCTCTTTCTCATTAGAATTTCTGGGTTCATTGTTCATTTGGTATTTATTGTTATTTGGGTATTTTGGGATTCATTAGATTATAGATTGCTAGTAGTAACAATAGCCTTGTGCTTCGTTTATGTGGAAATTGGCAGCATCCATTCTTTCTTTGTTTTTTCTCCGTCCAATCTGGGTTTCAATTGCCCATGGAAGAAAATTGACAAATGAAGAACAGTGGGAAGAAGACGAAGGATAGAAGATGAGGACAATAATGTAATTTGCATGTTTATGTTAAAATTCTGTGTATCAATCCAAACGAGTTATTTCAACTAAATCCTGCATATAAATTCCTTGGTATTTTAAACGAGAGATTTGGTTTAAAATCCCTCGTGATTAAAATTTCTAATCCAAACGACCCCTTTGTGTATTTTGTTCTAAAAATTCACTTTATAGGCCAATAGGAGTGAAGCTCAAGTTTAGGCAAAACTCCTCTTAACGAGTCAAGCTCACATTTAGGCAAAACTCGACCCAGCTCGGGTAGTTAAGAAACAAACCGAGCCCAGACTTAGCAAAACTCGACTCGAGTTTGTTCATTTCCTGTCCCCCAGACGTGAGTAAGCACAAATTTACATGGATAAATGCATATACATGTGAATTGAGTGTTGTGGCTCTTTAGGTGCCACCAAACCCTTGTTGTAGCTAAGATATGTAGAAGATAAAAGTACGGCCCCGTGTTCAAGACAAAACTGATCGTCGGCGCGCACACTTTGCCACGTACATACGATCCATTCATTATTTGCCGAACTAATAAGGCGAAAAAAATTCATGGTTCGGTACACATGGCCGATGCCCTATATAAAGCCACCCCATATCGGAGTCTATTTGCCATCCCCAAGAGTAACTAAAAAAAGAGATGGAGCCGATCATTCTTAGTAGCAATGGCAGTAGTACTATCCATTATTTGAGCGTTCCATTTGGAGCCCTCTTCTTCTCCATACTCTACTACACGTTCAGCACTCGAAGGAGCCGCCCTAGTGCCAAATGCCTCGTCGCAAAACTCCCTCCAGGGTCGATGGGCCTTCCGATCATCGGAGAGACTCTTCAGTTCTTCGTTCCTTACACCTCCGACGACATCTCGCCTTTCATCAGCAAGAGGGTACAAAGGTATGGTTCATATTAACTAACGATTGTGTATGTTATAAGGATGTACTTAGTGTCATAAACCAGTTGGTCCCAATAACTCGAGTTGTTGGGAGAAGCTTATGCTGGATCTTATACCACTCTCTAACACTCCCCCTCAAACGAAAGCCAACTCATGGGCTTGAAGTTTGCACAGGCCCACCATACCATGTGCTTGAAAGACAACGGTTAATATTGGGGTCGTGGAGATTCGAACACATGACCTTTCGGTTCTAGGCTCTGATACCATATCATAAACCAGTTGGTCCCAATAACTCGAGTTGTTGGGAGAAGGTTATGCTGGATCTTATACCACTCTCTAACACTTAGTATGATACTATATAGAGATCATCATGTCTCATTAGAAGAAGAAGAAAAAAATGAGGAGGTTAATTTGAGGACTTCTCCATAGTTTTTGGTGACAACTTAGTCGTCCATAATGTTTCATAATTTCAGGCACGGCCCAGTGTTCAAGACGAAACTGATCGGGAAGCCGATGATCGTGTCCACGGACGTAGATGTCAACCGCTTGGTGTTGAATCAAGAAAGGGAAGGCCGGGAAGAGATGTTGTTCAAGCCGTGGTACTCCGACAGCTTCAACGAGATAATGGGCAACGACAGCCTGCTGGCTCTCGAGGGCTCGGCGCATAAGTACATGAGGAACTTGGTGCTCGAAGGGTTCGGACCGGAGCGCCTCAAATCCCTCCTCGCCGACATGGAACGACACACCGTCCGACACCTTCACTCCTGGTCGTCGAAACCTAGCATCGATTTGAAAGAAGCGGCTTCCACGGTGCGATTCTATAAATTGCGTGCAAACCTCAAGCGCATGAGTTGTTTTTTCGCTAATTTTTTTTTCCTTTTTTCGTGACCTACTTTGCAGATGATTCATAGCTTTACGGTCGAAAAGGTGTTCAGCATGAGTACCGACGACAACGAGGAGCCACTAGTGAGAGAATTCAAACGATGTTACGACGATTTTCTCCACGGGTTGATCTCGTTCCCCATCTACATTCCGGGCACTTCTTATTGGAAGTGTATGAAAGGACGAAAGGGTGCATTGAACATTATTAAGACGTTGATGGATCAAAGGAGAGAATCCCCACACGAGGAATTCGAAGAGAGGGATTATCTCGACTTTATGATAGCAGAAATGAAGAAAGACGGAAGCCCTCTAACCGAGAAGGTCGCCATTGATTTGCTCTTCTTGCTTCCTTTCGCAACTTTCGAATCCACTTCCTCTACCATTGTGACGGCATTTCACTACTTGAGCAAGCATCCCGCGGCACTCCAAGAACTTACCGTAAGTGCTCAAAGGGCAAGTTTGGTTTCAAGGGGTTCGATAAGAAGCGGAGCTTAAATTTACATACTTAATTATTTTTTTACCTTTATGTCAGAGAGAACACGAAGCCATTCTGAGAGGGAGAGAAAGGAGTGAATCGGGAGGAATCAGTTGGAAAGAGTACAAATCAATGACTTTTACCCACATGGTAATATTTTACTGATTAAGTCTTCATATAGTCGCGCATTCTGAAAACTTGATACTTAACTCTTGGGACCGTAAAATTCGATTGATTGATTTTGCAGGTTATCAACGAGACCTTAAGGCTTACAAATATAGTCCCTGGAATTTTCAGGAAGGCGGTGAAAGATGTTGAAGTGAATGGTAATTATAATTTTTTTTTTTTTTTTGAAGGTATAGAGTAAGCTTCGAATCTACCTTTTGTGGATCGTCGTAACATTGATTTACGACGATCTTTACGAATAAACAAATGACCTTTCTGAGTTGTACAGGATACTTGATTCCAGCTGGATGGACGGTGATGGTTTATCCGGCTTCGGTTCATCTCAACCCCAAAGTATACGGAGATCCTTTGAGATTCAATCCATGGAGATGGAAGGTAGGTGTTTACTTTAATTAGGCACGTGCACTATTAATTTTTTTTTTTCTCGACTTATCCATAGGCGGAGCTAGGCCATTTTGGCCTTGTCCAGGGACAGGGGTATTTTTTGGGAGAGGAGAAAAATACCACACCTACAAGTAACATACAAGTAACATAAAGATATTTTATCACTATAACATAATTTATTACTTGTTCATTAATTGCTAAAACTTAGTCAATTGATTCCACTCAGGACACTATTATTCAAAAACAGCTTGTAAATGATGAATTATATTCTCGAGCAACGGTGGAGATGAAAGTTTATAAGTCATATATCCGTAAGTTTATTTGCTTATGAAACTAGAAAGAGCATTTTTAGCTTCAGCTGTATTAAGAACAACTTCAAAGTTGGATTGGCGATCAGTTTGCTAATGATTATTTAATGGGATACACCGAAAGAGAATTGCTTAAAAGTGCACACAACGAATATATTTTACATTTGTTTCGGAATACGAAAACTCATCGTGGTTGTTTATGCAAAATATAATTGTATTAGTTGATTGTTTCTTTATCTATGAATGAATTATTTGAATATTATTATTTTAAATTATATTTATTAAATTTTTATTAATTATATATTTATATTTTGAAAAAAGGACATGGATAGTTTTTAATCCTGCCTCCGCCACTGGACTTATCATCATGACATGACAAGCATTTATACATCCAATTAACGTACGTGGTCACGAACTAAGAATCGTCAACATCGTATTTTATTTTCTGCAATGCAGGGCCAGCAGCTGCATTCAGGATCGCAGAATTTCATGGCGTTTGGTGGTGGGGTTAGGCTTTGTGCTGGAGCAGATTTCGTCAAGGTTCAATTGGCCATCATTTTTCACCACCTCGTCACTAAATACAGGTGCCCAAATGATCACATGATGAAATTTCAGTACTAATAAATGAAGACGAGCACTTAGATAAAGACCGTTAAATAATATTAGTTACTTTTGTTTTTCAGGTGGGATGTGATCAAGGGAAAGGAAGCAGTTCGATACCCCGGATTAATATTTCCAGAGGGCTTCCATATCAACATCTCTGAAAAGAACGTGGAACCAGCTCAGAAGTAATTAACAACCGGCGGGTGAAAGAAAACAAAAATTGCTACTGCAAACAGAGATGGTAAATTGTATCGAATAAGTTAGTGGTATGGTATTTTTATGATCAATATTATGGATTAATTGTGTAATTCAATCTTTTCATATCGTACAAACTTATACCATTAAGTGGTTTTCTTATCAGACCGTGGCAGTACGGTGTGATTTTGCAAAACACTCTGAAAATGGACTGATTAAAGCCGTTTATTTTTATGCCAAAATAAAAGTAAATGTGTGTGAAGTAAACTGTTTCTTGTGAAATTTGAGATTGTGTTCTCCTTGATCCTAGAATCTATATGAGCCTGAATGTTGCCAAGGATCAAGACGTGTGTCTATGTGTAAGTGTGTAACCATTTCTTAATGGTTTGTTTATATATCATTAGTCTCCTTCAGTTTTTTATGTTCTATAATAGCGGATCTGGTCAGTAATGAGGGTTACTCACTATATATAACTTTTATTAACTAAATTTAATGGACAATATCTCTTTCATTTTAAGTTGGATTAAAATTAAATTTAAAAAAAAATCAGTTTAATCGTATTCTTCAAAATAATATTCACTTTGATATATTTTGGAAAAAATCATATTCAGTCATCTATTACCCGTCTATACCATAGTGGTAATTCTTGGTAGTACATATTATACCATGGTGGTATGAATATACCATGATTTAGAATGTATATATCATAATAGGAATATATACTAACCACCATTTATCAATTTTCACTACCGTCTATCAATAGTTACCTCCCTATAACAGAGCGATATATTTGGTCTGGTATACTATTTTCATATATTTGTAAGTCACAATAGATTACGATTTAATCAATTTTTCTATGCAAAAGTTTTCAAAATTTAAGTTGAAGGTGTTAATGAGTGATAACTGGAGATACTAGGATAGTAATGGGTGCTATGAAAATTTTTCTCAAAATATATAGATAATTAATATCATTTACAGATCATAATGAACTCGTTCCATCTGTGCAAAAAAATTCAAAATCTAAGTTAAACAAAGAATATAAATTGATTAAAAGAGAGAGACAATAAAAAGTATTTTAATCTCAAACTTTAGATCTGGCCCCACTCGAAATCAATGGGTAGTTTGGTCCTAAACAAATAAAATATAGAACTGAGGGTTATTTACCCTACCCTAGACCTCAAAATGTACGTAAGTTCTAAACTGTAGTTTTTTAACAATCAATGAATCTACCGGTCCAATTGGATATGAATTAAAAGGATTGAATTTAAGCGGATTCAGTTAGTTTGATGTTTTAGTGGATGGATTGAATTAGTGGATTAGATGCAAATGGCCAACTCTAGCCCGCAACACTGCTTCTTCTCATTGTTGTCAGTTTGGTGGTGGGGGCCTTGCATGCCCAAGTGGCAGCCCATGCTAGAAACCGCAACTTTTGTCGCGCACTCCGTGGTCCCAACACCGTCGCTCCCATTTTGGAACATTGCTTGGCCATTATGACAACCATCTTCACGTCTCTAGAGAAGACACAAATCTCACACTCTCTTGGCTTATGTTGCATACAGTTTTGACAACTTCTAGCCCTTGCCCAACACCAAAGAGCCTCTAGAGAGTTTCCACTGACTTTTGTGAAAGGTGTTGCAGTAACCTTCCTCATTCAGCTTGTCTACAGAGATGAGATTCAGACGCATTTCTGAAACATGTCTGACATCCTTCAACAGCAACTTAGTACCATTCATCATTTCCAAGCAGACTGCTCATTTTCCAATAACATTGAAAATGTTACCATTTCCCATTCTTGTCACACCAAAGTCACCTGGTGTGTAAGATGGTAGCACCACTATCAACCACCCAGCTTGTCTCTTGAGTAGTCAGACTGATCGCATCTTCCTCGTAGACAATGTTGAACTCGTCAACAAAGTTTGCACCATCATCATCAATGTTCTTGTCTTGTTTGCCCTTCCTTCTCTCGTTACCGAACTTTGGGAAAAATCTTCTAATGTGGTCATTTACCTTGCAGTGATGACAATGAACATTGACAAACTTGTTGGACTTCCCTCCACTCTTTTCTCTTTGCTTCAAGCCTCTCGCTTCACTTCTTCCCCTACTTTTGGAATCCACCACCAGAACGTTGGATTGTAAAGATGATGAGGATGCATCTTGTGATATTTTTGTGCATCTCTTCATTCAGGACTACGCTTTTGACAAAGTCACCTTCATTTTAATCCAACTTTAAATGAAGGTGTTGCAGTAACCTTCCTCATTTAGCTTGTCTACAGAGATGAGATTCAGACGCATTTCTGGAACATGTCTGACATCCTTCAACAACAACTTCGTACCATTCATCATTTCCAAGCAGACTGCTCATTTTCCAATAACATTGGAAATGTTACCATTTCCTATTTTTATCACACCAAAGTCACCTTGTGTGTAAGATGGTAGCACCACTATCAACCACCCAACTTGTCTCTTGAGTAGTCAGGTTGATCGCATCTTCCTTGTAGACAATGTTGAACTCGTCAACAAAGTTTGCACCATCATCGTCAATGTTCTTGTCTTGTTTGCCCTTCCTTCTCTCGTTACCGAACTTTGGGCAAAATCTTCTAATGTGGTCATTTACCTTGCAGTGATGACAATGAACATTGACAAACTTGTTGGACTTCCCTCCAGTCTCTCCTCTTTGCTTCAAGCCTCTCGCTTCACTTCTTCCTCTGCTTTTGGAATCCACAACCAGAACGTCGGATTGTAAAGATGATGAGGATGCACCTTGTGATATTTTTTTGCATCTCTTCATTCAGGACTACGCTTTTGATCATATCCATCCTGATAGCTCCATCTTTCGCATGGTTGATAAGTGAAATCTTGAACATCTCCCATGATTCTGGAAGGGAAGCCAGAACCAAGAGATCGACTACCTCATCTTCTATTTTTATGCCCATATCGGACAACTGATCCACGATACCTTGAATTTTGTTCAAGTGGTCTTCTAAGGATGTGTCTTCCTTGTATTTCATCTAGACCAACTTGGTCAGATAAAATAATTTATTGTTTTTGGTCCTTGTTGCATAAAGTGCCTCTCACCTGCCCACCCTCCACCTGCCACCCACCCAAATTTAGTGGGTGTGAAAAATGATGACTCACACCTATCACCACATCCACCCAAACATGTAATTTGTGGGTTATAATCGGATAAATTCAGGTGGGTCTAGCGGTTGACCCATCCATTGCCCATCCCCATGGGCAAGATGGAGAGTTTGTTCTCCTCTTATAGTGCAAAGTGAAAGCAAGGCAATTCAATTCCCAACAACCATTTTGGTGCTTTAATTACCGTCAGTAGCCTACTCGAGCAACCCATGTGGGGCAGGCATCACAAGAACTTCCTGTTAATTAAGGATTTTTTTGTGTGTAAATGCGGGGTCGTTTAGAAGTTGCGATTGTTAAATAGATGTATTGTTGTGAATTCATGTATAATATTATACATGTATTGTCGAATTTGATGCATTGTAGAGTACAACGTTTGGTATGTTTGATTGTGTATGTCACATCAGCTAAAAGCTGAGACAAAACAATCTCAACTTAATTATCTCAACAATCACAACCAAAAGTTGAGATATAACAATCACTCATTTTGAGTGATAGTTTCTGTCACATCACAAAAACAATCCATGTATTGTTTCTGCTAAAAAATAAATAAAAAATGATGCAATTCTAAACAATGCATGTATAGTAAGAATCTCAACAAAACAATCGAAATTTCCAAATGACCCCTAAGTTGTACTGTGTTGGGCTAGGATTATTAGCTAGTCTTGTTTGATTAGGATTAGTGGCTAGCTTGGTTGTATCTAGTCTAGACTACTTATAATACATTTTAAAGAGTTTGATTTGCTCCATTTCAAATTTCCTGCAACGAGAGTGAAAGTAGGAAGGGTATTTTCGTCTACATAATCATTTTTTTATTGCATATAAAAAGATATCAATGCTAGGATTTGAACCATGGTCCCTTCCACCAAAAACAAGAATTGTAATCAATTAGACTAGACACATTTGTTGTACTTTATTAATACAAAACATAGAGGAAGTTCAAATCAGTGCAGTCAAAATCGCGTTTCAAGTCGTAAAAACGTACGTTTTTACGTATCTAGGTCACCAAAACGTTTCAGTTTCTACCTAAAAACGTTCATGTTGTAAAATCGCTCAAAATCGTTAGTGGAAACGTTAAAATCGATGAAAACGGTTAAAAACGCGTTTTATTAGCGTTTTTGTGCGTTTTCGCCCAATGACCAGGAAATGCAAAGTTTCATGAAAATAACGTCGTTTTGGCGTTACAAAATTAAAAAAAAAAAATGCGAAAGGAGGTATCGCCGTATCGGGCTCATCATCGAGCATCTCCCAAACCTGAAAATTTCAATCCCTAATTGACAATGGAGGGCTACGAGCAGGGAAACCGGATGAGGGTGACCAGTCTCCATCGCGCCGCAGACACGTCGCGGCCTCCTCCGTCGCTGCAGACACGCCGCTGCTTCCTCTGTCTCCGCAAACACGTCGCGACCTCCACCACCGCAAGCTTCGAGTGGCGTCCACCGTTCGCAAGCTCCGAGCAGCCTCCACCATATGCCATCAGACACGTGGCATCCACAGTCTCTAGATGCAGCTCGGCGCCGAAAAAACAAAGAAGAATCGCCTACTTCTAATATACCCGCTGCTGCTGTTTCATTTTCATTGGATTCATTGGATCGGGTCCTTTACTGGATAGAAGCTAGCTAGCTATCAACTTATAATTCATTTTATTATTATTTTGACAACAACTAGCTAGATATCAACCCCAGGAAAGCCTGTCATTGTGTGTTTAGTTAATTGCCATTGTATATATGGTTTCTTCTCTTGTTCGGTTGGCTTGGTTTTTGTTAGAAGTGATTTATTATTCATTTTAGTGTGAATGCTAAGTATGAATGCTAGGAATGGCAAGTATGAATGGTAGGAATTATTGCTCAACATTTCTTGTGGTTTGTTTGGCAAGTATGAATGGTAAGAATTAGGATATAAGCACTTTTCTTATTTATTCATTTATCTGAAATTT